ACTGGTTCGGCTCTTCACCCCTCGTTCCACCTTGCTCTTTTCCCGCCGTATTGACCGTTGTGTCTTTTATGTGTGTGTTTTAGGTTTTATTTTTTTGGTTGTATAACAGTTCCCTTAGTTTTTGGAAAGTGGGTTTTTGTTGGCCAGGGGTTTTTTATGGGGGGGTTTTGGTTTTGTTGAAGTTTTTTTAGTTAATTGGTAGAGGGGGGGGGGGGGGGGGGGGGGGGGGGGGGTGAGTCATGCTTCTCATAATAACTAACTAAATAACACCATTTCACCCTGGGTACCAGAGGTTTTTTCTCATGGCTATGGCATTTGGCTAAAGAAGCATCGGCCTACAGCTGACCCCAAAGTATCATTACCATACTCAATCGCTCTTTGCGATTGACTCTGACTTTGTTTTAATTTTATTCATTTTCTCTGATTCCCATTAAGTCACTATTCAATCTCCCACTTGAAAAGATGTTCTTCTGTCCTTGAGTTTATATATTTAAGACATGTTGAAAGTTTTTGTAGACCTGCTACAGCAGTAGGTGAGGGGATCGCACAGGGCAGTTTGAACCCTCCACCTCCAGTTCCTTGTTTTCCTGGATTCCACCCCTTTTTGCTACATTTCCTCCCTTTAGCCCTTTTTCAATTGCAAAATATTATGCAGCATTGTTGCATATTTTCCCCCTATTTCTCCCACTTTCCACCCTTTTGGAATTCCCACCTCCTGCTTTCCCCTTCCCCTACGCTCCTAGGTGTCCAGCCCCTGTCCTCCCCCACATGATAATACACACACATAGATGTACATATTTTTTCAATGATGATCACAATATCAAGGTCTACCTCCCCCATCCCCCCTTCACGAATAGCAGTTTGGTTTCTTTTACATCCCACAAGAATAAGACAGTGAAAACGCTGTTAGACCGGGCCTACAGTTTTTCATCTTATCCAGGATACCATTTCTTTTTGCAAATGCCATGAAGCCCTCTGCACTCTGTGGCCATAAAAGGAACTTGGTTTATTTACCTTCTGGTCTTTTTCTTCTTGGTACTTTTCTGCTGGCTCAATTAAAAGTTGTTCTGCATGTATCAGATCAAATAAATCTTGAAGTTCTGTTGCTCTTCTTTTTTGACTTGGGAAACTTTCTTTTGGCTCTTCCATGGTATCTACATTTTTAGCAGAACAAGTAGTTGAACACTGGCTTGATTGCGACTTATTGGATGTGCATGTCGTTTGGAGTCCCTGTGCTTTTCTTTTGTGGCATTTATACTCTGAATATGTTCTTAGTGGTGATTGGCATTTTTTATCCAGTTGGTCTTGCCTATCATTCTCATCTAAGTTATGACAAATTTGAGCAAAAAGTTGTTAAAAATATTTAACATTACATAGCAAGATTTTGTTAGTGTGTGGATAAAATAACCATTTGCACTCAGGTTGTCTAGAAAATCATCGTGTCCCATGTTTATATTCTGGCTGCATTTCTGTGTACTTTTCTCCAGACCTGTCATGGTCAATTGCAGCTACAATGTTTGCCATCGATCATGGCCATTTGAAAGAAGTCTGGATGGATCAGAGATTCAGCAAATGAAATTTTAAGAAAAGTGCCTGGAAGTTCAGCTTCGCAACCACTCCCCCATCCACCCCCAACCTTCTTTCCTGAATGATGGGAGCTGGAAGGGCTAGACCCTTTTTGGCAGAGGGTGGTTTGGTTAGAGTATGACTGTTTGCTTTATTATGTACTAACATCACAAAGAGAGATGTTTTGCTAATTGCCCATTGGAGATAAGAGTCTAGATCAGTTTAAAAATGTGGAGGATTATAGTCACTGGCATGGACTCAATTTTATAGGTGGTGCTTATTTACAGTCTTACATGTTAAAAAAATTCCCGTCCCCTCCACTGCTTTCTCTCTTCGAAACCCCTCTTAACCTCTCCCACTTTTTGAGATGAGAATTAAGGCATATGTAAGGCTAAGATATTATGACAAAAAAGCAAGTGGTTGACAACAGTTTTAACTAAACTGAGTTGTGAATAATAGACCAATAATTCGGACTTGGCACCAAGGCTTGGGGGAATAAAACACAAGAAATCATCTTGAGGATCAGCTTTTCTTTGGTTTTATTCCCCCAAGCCTCAGTGCCAAGTCTGAATTTTAAGATGTCGAATTTGCATGTAGAGATCTTCCATTTTAGCAAATGACATTGCAGACTTGTTGTAAGCTTGTATAATTAAACTTAACGTTTAGCCTGATCGTAATGTAATATTGCAAGGAAAGAAATTGATTGGCTTAAAATTAGCCTTACCTTCACTTAGCAAAGAAATTGTTTCAATTCGACGCTTTTCTATTTTCGGAGTATCAGCTTCTCTGCTTTCTAAAGTTTGACATTGCTTTCTCCATGCTTGATGCAATTTTGCTTTGATCTGTCGTTCTTTAAGAAACGGAAATTTACTTGCAAACCTTGAGTAATTATCGGTTAAGAATACCTTAAGGGGAAGTTTCTGTTTCTTTCTTTTCGGTGGCATTTTAGACGAATTTTTCCCTGCCTCTCTAGAATGACTAACAGTTTTTAGAATTGCAGTCTTAGTCCTTGGTAACCTGTCCTTCTGCACTTAAAAAGCCCCCGATCCTCAGTTGTCCCCAGGGTCTTCTCCTTTGATTCCTTTTAGGCAGAAGGAGGGACCCAATGTGTGCATGTGTACTGGAAGTGAGAGAAGAATCCTTTGTGGCTTCATGCTACTCGCTGGTCCGTTCAGTTAAGTTGTATAAAAGGGAGGCTAGAGTGCGTTGCCGCCAGCGACCTGGAGCGTCTGAGAATCTGCATGCTATTTAAGTTGCGACAGTCATCTGTTCTTAACGACGAAGCTATGGAAAAGCACCTGGTTAAAAGGTGATCCATGAAAAAATAGTCAGTCACTGCAAAGTGAGATGAGCATTGTAGAAATCAAATGTTTGTAGAAGAAAGCTAAGATCAAGTTTCAGACGAACTGTCTCTGGAATTTTTCAGATCTGGGAGGTGTTACTTGCCTCGGCCTCCTTGCTCTGCGTAATTCTTATATCACACTCTGCCTCATCCAATAATTGTCTTCACTACTAAATCATTTAGCGAAAAAACATTCTTTCTAAGAAAATCAGTTATATCTTCACAAAAAACCTTTTTATGATACAATCCTTGGAACTCGTTCTTGACTGTCAGTACCAAGTACGGCGACCAAGCGCTTCCCACCCCCGACCCCCCCGGGCTTCCACCTCCTTCTCTCTCTTCCAGCCTTTTCTCGTTTCTTTACTACCTGTACCTCAAGTAATCAAAGATTGGTGCTGGTGAGTTCGATCCCCGGGGGTTACCCTAGGAATGTGCCTCCCTGAAGCCTGGGTTGCCCCATCCTAAGCTGCTTGAACAAAAACCAATGACAGCTGCACCTCCCCTTTGTAGCCCTTACATGATATTTCCCCTAGTATTCCATATTTGAAAGTCTGAAGCTAGTTGCGTTTTTTGATGAGGATCGTCTCTAGCATCAAATGACATATTAATCTAGAAGCATCCGTTTGAAAGGATCACCGGTTTTCACTTGATAAAATCAGGAAATGTATTTGAACCTCGCCCACAGGGCGCTTTTCCTTGTCTTTGCCAAAGCCCGGGAAAAGCGCCCTGAGGGGCGAGGCTGGAAACATATCGTAAACAATAGTATAGCAGTAAAATTACAAACTTTATTTTCAAATACCAGCACCTTGATCTACATCAATTTGAATGTTGACGAGCTACAATATCGTCAATATCAAGTCCAAGATGGCGTTCAAATCGATCGATACCCGCAAGACCCACGGGACAAAGCCTCTTTTCCGAACGCAATAAAAATATTCCAGGTATCGTGGGGTCAAGTGTTGATTGCAGTCGTACACGTGACAAGACCCGACGAGCATAGCGTGATCAGTTTCCTCGTTGCTCTACTGTGGTGTTACTTCCGCTCTTACTTGAAGCGGGATACCAGTATTCATTGTTCATCAAAGTGCATAACCATTGTATCATTAATATTGAGCCACAAAAGATGAAGAAGCCCATTAAGGCAGATTATCTAACAAAGCGATACTTGATTAATCGCGTGACAAAATTGTAATTTTATGTACTTACACGTGTACTTGCGCAACACCTAAATTCTGACAGATACAGAAAGAAAGCAGGCTCCGTAGAAAGTTAAGAGCTGATATTTTCAACTAGTTTAGTTTCGGGTGTTTCTTACGGGAAACTGCTATCTGTATTATATAGAATTCCTCGGGAAAAATAGTGCAAAACATTGTATTTTTAACACTGACCTTTGTTCGAGATCCATTTCCTTCTTTTAAATCCTGTTGCTATGGATATGTCAGATCATACCACGTTTGTATAATAATCAACCAATGAGTTTATTTGTTGTGCTGTGACGTCATTTTTGTGACACGTGATCTCCAAGCAAAAACACACTTGGTGTGATCCTCCTTCTCCGAAGGTAAAGCGTGTTGCAAGTATTTGTTTTTATCGTTGTTTTTGGTCAAAATGGACACATTGAAAGAGCAAGCTATGATAAATCAGTTTGTAATGGCTGCTGGTTGTGCCAGAGACCAAGCAAAACAACTTTTGCAGGCGGCACATTGGCAATTTGAGGTAGTGTGCGGATTGTTTTGATTACGACTTGAGCGATGCGGCTTGACTAATTTTAAGATCATACCTCGCTTTATTTCTTCATCTAACTGAGCTAGCGATGGTTAAGCTAATTTTTTGCTTCTTTTCTGTGTTCTAGACCGCGTTGAGCTTGTTTTTTCAAGAAGCGGCGATTCCTTCACATTCACAACACAACGCGGTAAGTCGAACGGTTTATAAACCTTTCCGTGCAATATCTTTCGTTTTGTCGTTGATGTTTCGTTTTCTTCTCTTTCAGCTCGTAACCCCAGCGAATACGCCAGCGACGCCACCAAACTTTCCCGACGCCATGGCAGCATTCTCAAAACTTCAGACTTCCGATACTAGCCCTAAAACACAGACTTTAAACGTGAATGTGAATCATCAAAGAGTGAGGTGATGTTCTAACGCAATGTTGTTGTCATCTTGCACCGTTCATTTGTGTTTGTATAGTTCCGCCGTACCTTTCTTCAGCGCAGCATTACTGGAACCTTTTTATAAAAATGTGTTAACAGAACAGAACAAAATTTGAGGATTTGCTGGGAACAGTAAGCTACGAATCAAGATATGGAAAGGGCAGAAATGTTTTGGAGTTCGTGGATAGTGCCAGCCTGTGTCCGGCATTACAATTCAACAGAATTCAACTGTTTAAATGGGAGTATTGATGATAATGAGCGAAGTCGCTGAGACTTTGAAAAGACTGAGAAAATCCACCTTAAGCAAATAGAACATTTTGTTTAAGCTTATAATTCCTGTGGAATCCAACGTAAGCTTTGAAATTTTTCGAGAACTTTGGCCGTTGTGATGAGCAGAGTGAAACATACAAGCTGAACGCCTTGTGAAACTGACCACGAGCATTCCTTTGGCTTTATGTATAATTTATGAGGAGTTGAAATCGAAAAAAACCCAGTCAGTCCTGCTAACGGTTTTGAAATTTTGTTTTGCAAAACTGTTGAGATAACAATCTAATTTAAACGATTACAGTAAAATTTAGAGAGCAGTGTCTGCGTAGAATATTGATGTCTGCACGGTTTACTTCATGAACACGAGCTTTAAAATTTGTGTCGTATCTGTAAACTCTTTCTTTGTTTCTCGCACTTCTCAGCATTGTTTACTTCAATCATTTTTCATTCGATTTAAATAATTTGATGGGGTTAAGTCTTAACGCCTAGACGCTAATCTAACTGGTTCGAATATTGCATATGAGCTTAGCGGCAATTATTAAATTTTTGTCGTTCTCCGGATGAGACAATCTCGAGGATTTTGATTTCCGGACTTTGGAATGCGGTTGTTGTCATATGCAAAACCACATGGGTCATTTGAAAAACTAGATGTTGTTGTTTGTTCCTGCCACTGATATCATTAAAGCAAGATTACCAGGACAATTTGTTAGTTTTCAACGGGTATAAATATCCAGCTGGGGCATTTTTTATAATATATATTTTCTACAAGTGAAATACAAGAGGCCAAGGTCAGACTTTCTGTCGAGTAATTAATAACATCAGATCAATATCGCCATTATTTCTTCAAGAGGGTCTTAGGCAAAATTTTTCTGAACAAGATTTAGCTGGAGTGGGTTGCTAACATTTTAACAACAGCAGGCTTTATCTTGCAAGGCTGTTCCCCCCATCCACCTTTTCCATTTGCAACAAAGGATATAGGAAGCGTCTTTGGGGTTAGATTACGTCTACCATGTAGGCACCTAGAGGCATTTTATAGCTAACATTTCTATCCAATGTTTATCAAAGGTGATAAGCCCTCATTCTTCAAAACCTTTTCTTATGGGAATTTCTCTTGGGTTTTCAGCTATTTCATCATGGTAGCAGTCTTCAATGGTGTTTTGCAGGAGATAAACTTTAAAAGTTTTCCTCCTGTAGTGGCTTGAATGTTACCTCATTGAGGTTTTTATTGATTTTTCCCCTGATACATCAGAAGAATTTGTTTAAGTCAACAGATGCAACCTTTTGGGTCTATTTCAGACACCTTTTGGGCGCAAGAGAAACACACGAATTTTGCTTCTCTTTTTGTGTCACATACAGACATTTCACACTTCCTTGCATTTAATTGTAACTTACATAGTACATTGCTACAAAGATACAGACTGCACTGATCAAATCTTATTTCTGATCACAATATTGACTTATTACATTTAGGCCCTCTAATTAGGAGGGTTTCAAATTTATGTCATAGTCCAGTGTTCCAGTTAATTTGTTCAAGCAGGGGATCCTGTAGACCATCTGAGGGGTCATTAAGACCACGTGCTAATTTCTTTGTGTCGTTTGTTCTGCCGTCCTATGTCGCATTTTCAAGGCCATGTGGCTCGTTGGAATTTTACTCCAACAGGCCTGTACATTGAATCTGATAAACCTGATAAAGAAAATCACTGATGACAACACTTGGGTGCCCTTTGGTCTTCCTTTCCCCATCTGCCTGTCTGTGAACTGAACTTCATGTAAGAGTTAGGTTTAGGTTATTTCTCTTAGTTGCAGTGTTTGAATGGAGCACGTTTGTCCCTAAAAGAGGCTAACTTATTATCATCGAAAGCTATCGGTTTTTGATGCCATGGAGCATATTATTAACTGTGTGTTAAATAACAGCATAGCGAGGATATTTCTTAGTTTGCACCTATCTATGTTTATTAGATGTTAATATACCCTACTCACAATATGGTGACTTATCATTTTGGTACAAAATCATTTCAATTCTGATGTCTCGTTGGTACAAGTTTTTTCAGTTGAGGTGTAAATAGTTTCATGTACTTTGCTTAAAGACTGAAGAATATTCATCCAAAATGTTTTTTTAGTTCACACTCAAACTATAATTGAAGTGATGAAGTTTTAGTGCAATTTCACTGCTTGAGTTCATAACGAAGTGACTGCTTTTCCATGATATGCTCACCATCTTGCCAAGCGCTTAAGGATTGATGAAATAAAACAGGGTTCTCAATAAGAGCTGGCGGCCAGCGAAATTTGCTTGCTATTTCACCTAAACTCGCCGCCTACTTTTCTTTGGAAATTACCCCCAAAAAGCCAAAATTTAAAGATGTCTGTGCCACTGATCAAACACTCTCATTTTTGCTCCAGGATGCTGGAAATGCAATCTAAGAGGCCCAGATTTCAAACTTTTTCCAGGAGGCATGCCCCTGGACCCCCCTAGTAACTCGCACTTTTGACACTCACAAGTACTTGCACCTGTGGCGCAAGTTTTTTTCTTCTCCACCCACTCCACCTACTTAGAGGAGCTGTGTGACGAAATTCAGCCAAATTAGGAAAATTCAAAATGCCCGTTAAATTAAGAGAAACATAAAACTAACCGCTTAAAACTTTAAGGGAAGGTTAAAATAACATAACAGAAACAACAGATGGCACGGACGGGCAAAACTGAAGAAGATTGAAATTAGGGTTTTTGTAAACTGTTCAGCCTAACAGTTTTTCAAAGTTGATCCGTGCTGCTTGCAACTTCAAAAATAATGCTCAGAAGACATATTTGTTTGTCTTTCATCTCTGATTTTGTCATTTATATGTAATTTCTTTGCTTACTTTAAGTTCTATAGCAATTGAGGGTGCGTAATTGGCAAAATTAACCAAATTAACTGGACTGCTGTTTCTCAGCTCCTTTAAAACCTTATTGAAAACCCTGGATAAAAGCAATGTCGTATGGTTTCTCAGAGGGCAAATAACATTTAATGTTAAATTTGAGCTGTCAAAGCAAGTAATTGAAGTCAAGTTTGTTTATTCCCTCAAAATGAGACAATGGTTTTAGTCATGCAAAATGTAAAGATCACGTGTTGTTAAGTTTAACAATAACTATTGTTTGCNACTCGCACTTTTGACACTCACAAGTACTTGCACCTGTGGCGCAAGTTTTTTTCTTCTCCACCCACTCCACCTACTTAGAGGAGCTGTGTGACGAAATTCAGCCAAATTAGGAAAATTCAAAATGCCCGTTATATTAAGAGAAACATAAAACTTACCGCTTAAAACTTTAAGGGAAGGTTAAAATAACATAACAGAAACAACAGATGCCACGGACAGGCAAAACTGAAGAAGATTGAAATTAGGATTTTTGTAAACTGTTCAGCCTAACAGTTTTTCAAAGTTGATTCGTGCTGCTTGCAACTTCAAAAATAATGCTCAGAAGACATATTTGTTTGTCTTTCATCTCTAATTTTTTCATTTATATGTAATTTCTTTGCTTACTTTAAGTTCTATAGCAATTGAAAGTGCGTAATTGGCAAAATTAACCAAATTAACTGGACTGCTGTTTCTCAGCCCCTTTAAAACCTTATTGAAAACCCTGGATAAAAGCAATGTCGTATGGTTTCTCAGAGGACAAATAAATGTTAAATTTGAGTTGCCAAAGCACTAAGTAATTGAAGTGAAGTTTGTTTATTCCCTCAAAATGAGACCATGGTTTTAGTCATGCAAAATGTAAAGATCATGTGTTGTTAAGTTTAACAATAACTATTGTTTGCTTTGAGGATATCTATAGTCATCACTGCATCCCAGGAGATCACTATGGTCACCTCCTCCCACAATTTGCCATTGTCATAAAAAGGTTACAAGTTCTTTATTTTCCGTTGAGTAGAATGAACAAACTAGGCCTCGATTTCTCGTATTGCTGGATTTTTATCAGTTGTTTGCCCTCTGAGTAGTCTGCTACACAGCCGTTTTTAGTGTCGTCGCGCAAGGAGGAGCATTGCGTCACCACTAAAATTAAAATGGCTATGTAGCAGACTACCTCCTGAGAAACCACGTCATGTTACTCTCATCCTGTCAATCCTTAACCCCTCAAATCCAAAGAGAGTCCAACATCAATTTTCTCCTGACAACATCAAGATATCATCAAGAAGAAATGTTATGAGAATTAATTAAATGATCACCAAAGGAAAAATGTTTTGATCTTTAACCAAATTCTCTAAACTAATCTTAGAAGAAAGGTATGGAGATCAGTGTGGAGAATTTGAATGTGGATCTTGGGGCTTAAAGGGTATTAAAGCTTGGCTAAGATGGCAGGTATCACAAATACATGTACGATCTCTTACAGGTGAAAAGGACACAACACTTGTCAGATTGACACTTTCAGAGATCCACTGCAAAACGTTATTCCAAAAAGTCTGAGTTAACTTGCAATTCCAAGATGTCTCGGAGAGGTCAATACAAAAAAAGGAAGAGTCTAAAATGCCTAGCAATAATTATTGGATGAGGCTAAGTATGATATGAAGAATTATGCACATTGAGGAGTATGTTATCTGCCAAGGCCAGATAGCACCCACTTATTCACCCATTCATTCAAAACGTCTTAAACTCAAACACATGCTTTCAATAGCTTTGTAAAGTTCCCATCTTCATAAAACTTGCCTGATCATCATCGACAGTGTGAGGAATGAAGGAATATTTATTTCAGCTAAAATTCTTAAAATAGTCTTTGTCATCTATCAAATAGTATTATCGCTATATTTGCTACATAAAGGCAGTAATTTGACTATTTCTGCTTTGTTCAACGTTCGAACTCCATTGCCTATCTCACCAGCTCTGCCAAAGTAGCTGAGCTAATATGTCTCCTGCTGTCCCTGTTTCTGTCAATATCATTACAATAAAATTATAAATTGCGATTATTTTATTGATTTCTATTTGGTCAACGCTAGCCGGTTACAAAGAACTTAGCCAGGGGATTTGAGCCAATCAGAATTAGCCAGTCCCAGCCTCTAAGATAGTAATGTAAAAACTGATGCAAGAACGCGAGGGGCCTGGGGAGAGAATAGGCGGTGCAGGTCATATCCACGCTCAACGCGCGTCCTCTTTCCCTTAACTTTGTTTTCGCGATTCACCTATCAAAGAAATATTTTGAATAAACAATTTTGTTATTTAAGAAAAGTGTGATACATAATCGAGAGGAGAAGTGTGACGTCAAGTTACCATGGTAGCAACATTTCTGGATCCCAGCAACCTTTCTTGACAGAGACGGCCATTCAGCATTGTCCAACGATGGAAGAAACGTATGGGCTACCGTTTTGTTCCTGAGTGCAGTCATGTACAGGAGAGTCATACAAGTCAATTTTTTTCTGCCATATTTGCAGGACCACCGTTTGTTGGGATCCAGAAATTTTGCTACCATGGCAACGTGACGTGATGACCTCTCTATTCACAGCCTTACAGTAAGAAGAAGAAGAAGAAGAAGAAGAAGAAGAAGAAGAAGAAGAAGAAGAAGAAGAACACAGTAAGTCATAGTTTAATATGAGTCACAACATAGTAAGTCATAGTTTAATATGGGTCTTATTGATAATCAGTTTGTAGCCTGAAAAGTTTTTAGGGATTATGTATTTCTCAAAGCCTTTGAAACCATTTCCAGCTAACAATTAATTTTACTGCTACTGTTGACATGAATTAGTACTACATGTATTGAATTTACTGTGTGGCTATTTCTGTAACTATGTTAAGGTGGCTCTGTACACTTTCCTGAGAGGTTCTTCCTTTTAACGTTTCTCTGAGTGCATATTAGCTTTACCACTATATTAGCGTTTTTAGGGAA